GAAGGAAGGAAGGAAGGAAGGAAGGAAAGAAAGAAAGAAAGAAAGAAAGAAAGAAAGAAAGAAAGAAAGAAAGAAAGAAAGAAAGAAAGAAAGAAAGAAAGAAAAGTTCTGCTCAGGAACACATGGTATCAAGGGTGACACTAAAACTAGCACATGGTTTTTAAAGGCAAAAGGAACCACTTTCTCTTCATGGTTTAATTTAGAATGTATCTCACAGAATCCAACAGAATAAGAAATGACTTAAATATTGAACTTGATCAGTGGCAGAATAATTTATGGAGCTATTATTTCTGTCTTGGGTTTGCTGCTACAGAAGACAGGAAAGATTGGACAGGTTATTAAAGGACTTAGAGGTTTCTATGTTTTAGACTATGCTTCAGGAGACATTAACAGCTTTTTTATGTTCTTATAGGTACTGTTTGAAGACTTATTCCCTTTTCCCAACCAAGTCCTTTATTTAAGATAAGAGTTTTTGAAAGGAGGTGGGTGCAAACTTCTCAAGACTCGAAAGTAAGAAAGCTAATGCTTTGAAAGGAAAAGAAAGATCATGTCCAGAACCAATGGGTGCTAGAACTATAGGAAGACAGGCATTCAAAGGCTAGGAGGTACCATTTGCATTTCACTACCCTATACAGGAATGGGACTGTTAGAGAAGTGGACATTAATGAAACTGTGCTCCTTGGACTTTTATTTTGTTTTGTAGTGTTTTGGTACTAAGCATTGAACCCAGGAGTGTTCTACCACTGAGCTACAACTCCAACCCTTTTTATTATTTCTTTTGAGATGGTGTTTCGCTTATTTGCCCAGGTTGACTTTGAACTTGGGATTCTCTTGCTATCAGCCTCCAGAGCAACTGTGTTTATAGGTATGAGCCTGATAAAACATTTCTCCGTTTCCCCTTCTTCCTCTATACTGAGGACTAAACCCAGGGATGCTTTACCACTGATCTACATCACCAATTCTTTTTAATTTGAATAGTATCTTGCTAAATCACTGAGGCTGGCCTTGAATTTGAGATCCTCTTGCCTCAGCCGCCCTCCCAGGTTGATGGGATTATGAAATATGCACCACTGCACCCATCCAAAACAGTGTTTCTTTTAATGGATTTTATGGCTCAGAGAATAAAGTGCTGGAGTGGCAACCCTGATATAATGAGGATCAGCAGAACTTATTTTTCCCCTGAGCTACAATGTCCCAGAGTTTCTGAAACTTCCAAAGGTGAGACAATAAAAAAGTGTATGATATTGAACTTCCTGGCAAACCTGTGATGGAATTTGTAGCATATTTGATTTATTTAGGAAAATAAAGGGAATTTAAAAGAAATGTCTGATTCTCAGAATACTGATTATAGATTGATTTAATCAAGTAGCTTAAACATTCTGTGTGAATCATTTCTGATAAGATTATCATAATATTACCAATAATGTAAAAATTTTTCTGGTTTCCTTTTGACTTAAGTCAAATGTCATCTGTATAAGACAGAAACTCATTTTATTATTGGGTTAGCTAATTTAAACATATCAAGCCAATTTTGAAATGAGATACTTTAAATTTATTAGAAACAGRGGTAGATTCTTGCAAAAGTTTTAAAGATTTCAGCATACATACTTAAAGTCTGAAGCTAATGTTCTATACTGGTGAGGCACTCGACAAACTACAAATTGGTACAAAATCCAGCTTAAACACTAGATATACTAACTTGGGCAAGCAACTTAACTTTTCATTGCCTCAGCTTCCCCATTTGCAAGTGAGAATAATTACTATTTCCATTTCATAGAACTCTGAAGATTAAATGAGTTAGCATATGTTAAGTGCTTTCAGTAGCACCTGTATACAGTACTAAATCAGGGTTAGGGATTTTCATCCCCACAATAAGGGCTTAAAATGTTCTAGATAATACATTGTGCTACTACCACAACAATCTAGCTTCATTATTGTGGATGTCAGGATGTCAAGAATTAAGGCAGGAACCACTAGATTCCAGAGGTTGCTGGCAGTTGGAAATCCACATTAGGATCAGAAAGTGTCCCTATTCTTCTGCTCTTCACATCAACGAAACAGCTGACAGGAATCTAAGGAGCCCTTGAACGGGCAGGGAAGAGTTCCCCAGCAACCTGTAGCCAAGCATCTCTTGTCTGTCACACCACCCAGCTGTGCTGTATATAAAGTGGAACAGGGGAGTGTAATAAATATTTCCTGCTGGTTGAGTATGGAGTTTGTTTTGGATACATCAGCATCTTAGGACAGTTCAAAAACCAAATTTAAAGTTATTATGAGAGATGCACAGATTAATTTTCTGAAAAATGACACTTAAGTAAAACTTGATAAGGATCACAAGAATTTTGATTGTTTCCAACCAATTTCAATTAAATATTAATTAAATCATGTATTTAGTTCACTCTATGGCCAGTACCTATGGTATATAGTTTGCAGAATTCTAAAATAGTTCCATATATTTGTGGTTTTACAAAAATAATACCTTTTTGATTTGGGGATAATAAAAAAAGAATTATACAGACACAGTAAAAGTAGTCCACCTAGTATGATATTATGGCAGAGGAATGGAGTCCTTCTGAGGTCCTTCTGGACTCCAAACTGATCTACTGTACTTGTCATTCACTCCTTTGTCTCTATTTTCTCCTCTATCTTTCCAACACCATTCTATTCCCCTCACTTCTGTGAAACATCTCTCATCCATGTTCTCCCTTTTGCCAAATCCAAGTGACCTTCCTGCAGCCTTTGAAAACAAGTTCTCCCTTCCTTTGATAAAATCTTCTCTGAGATTCTGTGACACCATGCACTCAAGTACGACTTCTCAGTCGAATTTACTATCTCTTTCTTCTTTGCCTGACTTCTAAGTGTTAAGGTGCCTCACAGTTTGGTTCTGGATGTCCTTGTTCATCTACATTCTCTATCTAGGAGGGCTAAAACAGATTCCATTTCTTTGACTTTCACTCATGTTTCATCACACACAAGCGCACCAGTTTCCTTTCTGTCTCTTGAATGTCATCAGCTCCTCCCTACTCCAGAACCAATGGATTTTACGATCCCCTCTTCCTAACTCCTCTTCATTGACACCTTGAGGACAAAATCTGACTTTGTGCTCCTGTTCCCCACACTATGATCACCTCCTATCCCACCACCCTATTTTATTTCTAATTTTTTAATCTATTTTTTTTTAGTTATAGTTAGACACAATACCTTTATTTTATTTATTTTTATGTGGTGCTGAGGATTAAACCCAAGGCCTCACACATGCTAGGCAAACACTTTTACCACTGAGCCACAATCCCAGTCAAGTAATCTGATTTTTAGGTTTTATTTATTTACACTTTTGCTCTTTGCTTCCTCCACTTCCTGCCCCATAGAGCCTAAGCTCTAATAGAGAGCTTGACCCATCATCTTCATATCTCCTCTGTCTGGAAAAGAATATGGTGCTTATTATTAGGCACCAGTCATGTCGACTGAACACATGAATGAATTTTAGGATATGAGAAAGAGTATACGGCAATCTAATTTTACCTTGTAGGGGATTAAAGGGGTTACATTGTTTACATAGACACCTGTCTCAAGTATATATATATGTGTATATATATATATATATATATATACACATACACACATATATATAATATATATAATATATAATATACACATATGTAATATGTGTATATTATATATTATAAACTGATTTCTTATGAACTCAAAGGTTAAATATATTTTGGTTATACAAGCTAGAGACAGTGCATATAATATATAATATTATATCTGTGGATATTATATATATTATATATTATATATTATATATTATATATGTGTATGTATGTATATATACACATATATAATATATAATATACATGTATATACATTTTTTTTAATATTCTGGGAACTGAGCTTGGGCACTTGACCACTGAGCCACATCCCAACCCTATTTTATATTTTATTAAGAGACAGATCTCACTGAGTTACTTAGTTCCTCACCATTGCTGAGGCTGGCTTTGAACTTGGGATCCTCCTGTCAGCCTTTCAATCCACTGGGATTATAGGCGTGCACTACTGCACCTGGCTTTTTTTTTTTTTTTAATGCATTTAAAGGAATTTTTGTTGTTGGTAGTGATTCATTTTAGTTTTTTGTGGTTATTGGGTTTAGTTCCAACAATGTACCCTATGGATTATGAAGCTATTTTAAGATATTGTACTTGTACTTTTAAAACCTTCATGTTTACTTTTTTTCTGAGAGATTCTATCACATTTTAAAATCTTCAAACATGATCTACATACATGACAAAATTTTGAGTAGAGGGGATTATTGAACATACTTGGTGTTCTCTTATTTCAGAGAGAAGATGATTATACATGCTAAATCCAAAGCCAGTATCATTCTCTCTCTCTCTCTCTCTCTCTCTCTCTCTCTCTCTCTCTCTCACACACACACACACACACACACACACACACACACACGTCCTCCATTATTTGCCTAAAATGTTTAGAGTGGATCAGTTAAACTGGAAATCTATTGGAGAAAAAGGAAATCTGAATTGAGAATTAGGAAACATGGACACTAGTGTCAGCTTTATTAAGCAGTTGTGTTATTTCAGGAAAATTATTTAAACTGAGGCTTCAGTTTCCTGATATCTAGAATAAAGGCTAGACACTCTTTAAAATTCATTCTAGCTACAAAATATGAGAATATTGAACTTTCCTTAATGGACAGCTTTTTGAGTCAATATTTAGATTCACCACAATTATTTATGAAAGGCCAGATATGGAAATTGGAGGTCATTTATGCTTTATTAAAAGTGATTTGGAAGTTGATTTATTATGAACTCAAAGGGTTAAATATATTTTGGTTATACAATCATGAGTGTAATATGTATGAGAGAAAAGAGTAGAATCGGATAGACCCAGACTTGTCAAAACTGATAAAAAGAATGAATGCACACATATGGCAGGCATTGATTCATATTGGCAAGTGTTAGAGCTAAAAATAAAGTGGTTTAGGATGGCTAGGAAACAGCTAGAGACAGTGCATGAGGCACCTTGCTCTGTTGGTAGACTGTGAAGCCTTGTGCAATGGAATATCCCCAACTACAAAGAAGCAGATGACTGTCATTTTGCACCAGCACTTCTCTATCATTTGGAATAATAAAAAAAACAGGTTGTAAATCAGGTAGATTCTATAATTGCCATGTTCCTATGATGACTAACCAACATAATCAGATTCAGAGCAGACACATACCTAACCCTTTGCATGGTAAATATCTGATTAGCTACTGGTATATCCAACTACTGATTTAAAAATGGAAACACATTTTGTTGTCTCTGTGGGTATGTGGCTGAAAAGAGACAGTAAATGGGTTAATTTAACATTATCTAGTCACATGTACTCTAATAAGGGCTTAGAGCTCAATTCCCACAATTAATGTCCCCAAATCTGTCTTGACTTTGCCTCCTGGAGATTTTTTTTAATTGAGCTGTTAATAAGCTAAGTGCTTAGATGTCAATTATCAGATTGTTTAAATGTCCTTTATCTTGAGGTCCTTAACTTTCAGGAGAAAAGGAAAAAGAGCTAGCTGTCATCTTGTGGTATACAACAACCTTCTCTGTTTTTTTTTTTTTTTTCTTTTTCTTACCACTGTCTACATTTTGGGGGATTTCCTCTACTTTTATCTGTGAGATATTCCTCGTTTTTAAATTTGTCATAATTTTAAAAACCTGTACAATTATGTCAGCATTAGTGAAAATAGTTTCTTAGTGCCAAGGTTTTAATCTTAGAAATATATGTGATGTCAAACTTGGGTCTTTTAAAAGTAATTTCATAATAATCATTCAGGATACTTACATCAACAATCAAGAAATCCAGCCAGCACCAGGCATTAGTGAAATACGTTTGAAATCCATAAGCTACCCATTTGAGAAGCATTTCCAGAATGAATATATAAGTAAAGACCTTGTCAGCATATTCTAGCATGGTTTTGATAGTCTTTCGCTGTTCAATATATATATCTTCAAAAGCCTGTGAAGCAAGAATACTTCGTTTTACCTTAAATTCTTGCAAAATTGCATAATTTAGTATGAAGCAATAATTTGTATTGGCTAACATCACAAAAGCATTGAACATCAGATAAACTCTAACAGGTAAAACTGAGATGATTTCATGTGGGCTTTTATTTCTGCTTCTCACACCAAAAGAATCTACTTCCATTACTGCTATAAACACATGCTTTTAGTGAGTAACATGAACTCACAAAATAACCTGAGGTTCTGTTAATAAGAGACAGAGGTGGCTTATTCCAACTTTACTTTTTTATGATTCCCTAAATAATCTAGCTTATATTGAAAGAATAAGTTGATTCGCTAATGAAAGCCAAAATATACTCTTAGTCCCTAATGTTAAAATTATTATTAGGGATAACTGGATGGTGTGTGCAACAGAATATCTCTAAATGGTTTATCCRTGAGGAAAACATCTGTTAGATAAACACCAGAGCAGAAATTTCATCTGGCTGATTCATGATTCTGATTTGTTTTGAATGGAATTTTGCATAATTAAGCCCTGGGTGTCTAGGTCTGCAAGGCACAGCTATTCCTCCACCTTTGACCCTTGAACACAGTCTATGCTCCTAGTATTTTTAGAAAACAAGCAAATTTACTAGAACCTGATTCTTGCCAATATGCTTTTCACTTACCAAAGCACCGCTACTGAGAAGTATCATGAAGACAATGAAAGTCTCAAACCAGTTGTGCTCAACAATGCTATAGCAGGTTTTCCGAAGATTCCACCAGATTTTTCCTTTGCCTTCTTCTGTGCTTACTTGACAAAAGGGAAACTTTTTAATACACCCTAAAAGAAAACATTAAACATAATAAGTAAAAAAAATATATTTTAATCTTAAATAATAACAAATAAACTTTTTGCTCACTCCCTACCCCAGTTTCAGTTCATTTCCTAGTAACAGTCAACATCCCTCCTTGTATATGAATCATTTATAGACTTATATATTCAGATAGCTACTTAGAATTCAAGAAAAAAGTTTACCCATATTACTTGACTAAAAATGGTTTCCTTCTTCAATACCCAACATGATCTCTTTGTCTTAAGGCCACTGAGGGAAATAGGGTTTTGGTATATTTCTCAGATTGGGCAAAACAACACATTAAAGATGTTTATTCATATTTTCATGTGATCCTGGATTCACTCCGTTTCTTCATGCATGGAAAATCCCACTGTCTTCCCAGGCATCAGCCCCTGTCAGTTTTCTCAAGCTAATTTAATTCAGCCTCAGTGCTTTTCTTTGTCACACCTAGGACTCATCTTGGCAGTCAGTATCTCTATTCCTTTGTCTTCTGCTTCCTAGATTTCATATTTTTTCTAACTTCTACCCACTGTTCTGCTCTAGCTCTGGACATCTACTCATCAGATTAAATTCAATCACAATAAATCAATAAGTATTGATTTGTATGCAAGACACTACGCTGGTTGCTGTGGGAACAAATATAGCTCACCCTGCCCAGATTCTAAAACACAGCTACATYCCCAAACAGCTCTGGTCAGAGCACGAATTGATGCATTTGAAACTATAGGGGATGAGATGTGATTATTGAGATATCTATAAGTTAGCCATTGCCAATGCATTCTGAAGGGACTGCCATATCAGTGACATGACATTGCAGAATGCCATTTATCTCACAGGGCCAGCTTTCTTACATCCTGGAGTGTGGGAACAACAATAATGACAAAATCTCATTTCACATCCTCTGATTTGTTCCGGCACAGTCTTTGCTATACTATACTCTAGAAATATAGATAAATGAGCTTCTTTTTTTTTTTTTTTTGGAAGAGAAGAGGAAAACAGAGATGAACATGACTTCAATATTTCTTTAAAAGATCTCCTTCAAATGAGATATATTCAGTCTCTCTAAGGAAGGAGAGGAGATGTGAGAGTTTGTTTACCTTCAGTAAAACAAGCTTCTGGTTTAAGGTCTTCCTCAGGTTCAATTTCAGCCTGTTCACCTTCACGGGGAGGAGCAACATCAACTGTGCTTCCTTCAGATGAGCTGGTTGCATTTAATTTCTGGAAACATAATCCAATTTCAAAGATATGAATTTTCTCCATTTTTACTCATCTAATTGGTAAATGCTCTGTTGGAGTGTCAAAAACTGATAATGGTTGCGTTTGATTCTACTAATACTACTGATAATTATTTAAAAATAGTTTAACATAATTGAAGTCCTACTATTCAAAACAATGTGACTACTGACCTAATTCAGACAAAAGGCAAGACAGAAAGAGAGAAAGAAAGACATAGKCTTTAATGTGGATGAATTGGTAAGGAAGGATAATATTGATTTACTTATTTTTTGATGTCACTTTTTATATAAATGCCACATTACATTACTTGCTAACATTAATCCTGTAGCCAAAACCAAGAAGAGTTTGATAAAAGTTTGGTATACTGACATCTACTAATGATTATATTAATTAAAATGTGTCAAATCAAATCACAACTTCCACCTCTTTAGATGGAAAATTTCAGTACTGTCCATGTTTCTGTAATTTTAGAAAGGAAGGGCAGCACATTAACATTAGTCACAGTCATTACATTTCAAATTTGAGCTATATTTTTCTCTGGCTTACATAATTTTCTCCTTACTTTACTAGTAGAAAATGATGGATCTCTCTCTCTCTCTCTCTCTCTCTCTCTCTCTCTCTCTCTCTCTCTCTTGAACTGCATAAATGAATTCAACACTTGCCAAAGAATTCTAAATTAAATGGAAATTTCTTCATAAATGGCATTGTCTAGGATCTGTATAGACTTTCATTAGAAGTCCATTTTGAATTCAACATTTGATCTGGCTGTGAATTTTTCCTTTAAATAAATCATTGTGACATGCCAAATGGCTAGAAGAGTCACTTTAATGTGACAAGAATAAATACCTAATGTTTTCTGAGATCACTTGGGAAGACATTATGAATGTGCAATGTTTTATAAAAACTGGCACAAAGACAGGACACACAGCCCAACTGAGGAAATGAGAAGGTTTTAAAATGAAAGAATAGCTCATGGACATGTTAATGGTTTCAAAGCCCCCAGCTAACTTCAGCAGCTAACTGTTAGGTCACTCTGTCCTAATCTTATGAAAGAGTTAATGTGTTATTTTTAAATGGCCAAATGAATCCCTAAACACAAGTCATACTGGAGAAAATCTGACTCAAAATTCTGATTTATTTAACACATAATGCCAATGTAGTCTATTATTTCAAATCAAAGTTGAAGGGTAACACCCAGATATACTTTCTGTGGTATGATTTTGAAGGTGACAATAACCATTTCCAAGTAAATATATTATGAAAATGACTTTTAAATCAAAATATGACTCCATAATACAGTCCTTCCTAGTCTGGAGTATGTTAAAAGGAGAAGTTCGGTCATCATTTTTGACTGATTGTTCTTAGGATTGTTATAAAATGAAAWTTTTTTTTTTACCATTAAATTCCTCTGCACTTTAGAAACATGGGACAGTCAAGACCTACTTTATTCTCCTGGGATTTATCTGCTTTGTACAGCCAGAGTATCTTTATTCTTCTAGGAAAGGCCTAGGAAAGTTACTACTGGGTACAGTTGTAGTTACCACTGAGTGATCAAGAAGATACTGGATAATTGCTTGGTTGCAGTAACTAACTTCCCTCCCAACTTCACTGATAGTTTATCGGTTGGGAATTTTGGCTTTTGAGGAGCAACAGCAATAATATCTGCTGAATAAATAACACCGGTAAGAAATCAAGTTATTTGGAAGCTATTTATAAAAAGGTTCATGATTCATTTTCTTCCTCTGGGCTAATCCAAACTCAAAAATTTCTTCTGAACCTGGTCATGGTCCACATCCTTCTTGAAGTTTTTCTTTCTTGTATGATTTATCTGTGCTAAATTTTGCAGTACATGTAGTCCATTGTAATTCAGGCCTTGGACCAAATATTTATAACAAGTACACACACATATTATATATCAAAAGATCTGGCACATATGACCAATAGAATAGACACCAAATACTTATGTTAGGTTCACAAAGAGTTAATAAATGAATGCCTGAATGCATTTTTATATTACTTTTATGAAGAGAGTTAAAATGTTTAGATAATTTCATCTCTCCTTTTTGATAAAGTATAACTCAGTCATGACCGTAAGAGAAGTCTATGTAATTGTACTAGAAAATGAAATTTACTATTGAATAGAAATTATTTAATTAAAAATACTTTAATGTTAAAAACATATTTCCAAAATGCTTCTCTAAAACCTTGACATTCAATAAAAAATTAAGAAGGAATATAGTAATAAATATTATATACATATTCATACAAAAAATATACTCACCCTTCATTTTCCATTTTTATAATATAATTGGTAAGAGAACTGGCAATATAATGATGAAGTGTTTAATTTTTCAAATTATAATTGTCTATCATATAGTCTACAGTTACCTTATATTTTAAATATAGATAATTATCTAAAACAGTGCTTCATAGCACAAGTAACAAAAGCCACTAACTTGAATGTGATTGAATCAACTGTTTATCAAGGATGAACCTCTGAATGTATTTTGTTATTGATAGTCTGTAGATTTTAAACCTTTGTGAATGTGGCTAACATATTTGGATGTAAATAATCTTGATATCCTAAATAGCTTTGGAGGTTATGTATTCAGACATCCTAAAGTAGAGAGGAATGGTTTTCAGTTAATTCACTTCTATTTGCCTCTCATTATGAGGCACAACTTGTCTTTTGAAAAAGATTTTGCCCCCATTCTGTTCTTCTCCAAGAAGCAGAACCCATTTATACCGTGAATCATTTTGCTGTCATCCAGGAGGGTTTTTTCCCCCCTCCTAATTATAAGTATAGTTTTTTAAACTTAGGCTCTGGAAGGCTTTCCAAAGAAAATTTGGTGGCAGGAGAGTGGGGGGTAACGAGATATTGAACTAAAGGCTGGAAGATAGTAGACAAGAGGTCATTTCCCTAGTAAGGGTTCATGTGAGGCTTCCTTCCCCATAAAGGTTGACCTAGAGTCAACTCTTCTAAGATGGACAATTAGGCTCAGTGATGTTTTCCTCTCAGAAATGCTATTACATTGTTTTCTCAACTCCAAGGCTACATCAAGGGGGTGGGTACCGGAGATTGAACTCAGGGGCACTGGGCTACTGAGCCACATTCCCAGCCCTTTAGAGACAGGGTCTCACTGAGTTGCTTAGAGCCTTGCTTTTTGCTGAGGCTGGCTTTGAATTTGTAATCCTTCTGCCTCATCCTCCTGAGCTGCTGGGATGATGGGGTTGAACCATCATGCCCGACAAGGCTACATTTTTATGAGAGGAAGTATATATATTTAATCTATGAAATTATAAAAAAATACTAAACAATTTTAAAATAACAAAAGTGGTGAGTTTACCTGCATTAATAAATTAAAGCTTGAATTGAGTTCTTATTAAATTACATTAAATTGACCAATATACTGCTTACTATCCTTTAATCACTACATACATAAAAGTTTACTGTTGTATATTTAAGTTACTAATTTGAAAATTAATTAAGCATTTTTCATTCTTAACATTGATGTAATAGCAATCTATACTAATTCCACATATTTGTATAATCTAACCATGAACATTTTAGCATTCATACTCTAGTAGATGGTAGTTTGTTATAATCTTATTATAGCCACACCAAAAATGACTCCCAAATTTATTAAAAGCATGTAACTGATTTAAAAGCAAATAACTGATAATTAAGTATAGAGAATAACTTACTTTCTTTATATTGCCATACCTGTGAAACTATAATGACATAAAAAAGCAAAGAAACCTGAAATGAAATTTACCACATTAAAGAACTCAGTGACTAAACTGAATAATTAAAATTAATAGTTGTTTTGAAGTAGTTAAAATGTAATTGTTAATATAGGAATAAAAACAGAAAGCTTCCATATAAAACCACATAGTACAAGCCCAAACTTGTTTTCTTGTACTATTTTCTCCCTAAGCCTTCCAATATTTTATGGCATTTAAATGTTAGATTCCTCCATCCCTTGTAGAAACTCTTGAGTCTACAGAGGGATGATAATTTAGGCTCTACAAATGCACGCTGGAAAGCAGGTTTTGAGATGCAACATTCTCCAGGCCTAATTCAGCCACAGAAAACATGCCTGGCTGTAGCAGAAGCCCGGCGCAATGCTGTGGAAGCTGCACACTGATCCAAGAACCATGTTCTCAAAGACATGGTACCTGAATATGAAGTGTTCAAGAAGTATATCACCAGTACCATTCAGAGGAATGGGTTATTTCAACATTTAAAAAATGACAAGAATTCACAACCAAAAAGGCCATGAGACCATTTTTCCAACCTCTCATATCACATGACCTTGTATGGAAATTCCCCTTTACRATGAATATTACCCTTGATTTTTATCCAATTAAATAATGAAATTTAACTTTCAGAGATGGAAGAGAATGTTAGCAACTGGCCTACTTCCACTGAAATGCGCTCACATTTCATTTATTTTCAGTCAGCTCTTAAATGTTTGACTCTCACAAACTGCTGCATGATTCAAGAGACAAAGTAAAAGATTCAGCCATTACAGATTGCCTTTAAAAATCTAGCCATTTCTCTCAAACATTCTGGATTTTGTCTTACTAGTAGAAGAGGAAAGTCTTTTGATCACACATACTATCAGGGCCTTAGTCTGATCTTTGGATATGCATACCCATATCTTGACTTATCATATTTCACTTGAAAAATAGGCAGCCACCTATTGAAGCTGTTTGGTTGCCAGTCTAAGGCAGAAAGAAAATGGCTTATATTTTAATGGCTAATATTTTAATACTTGACCAATATCTCTTTTTTTCTGACCACTTGTCAACTGATTAAAAATATAAACTGCCACTATTTGGTTTTGTTTTGACACATGTTCACAGCACAACATCCTTAGTGCTGCTTTTGTTTAAAAATAGCTTGATAGGAACACAATATTTGAAACTGAAAATAATTACATTGTGCTTGAAGAGTAGGGTAAAAGAGCATTAATAGA